TATGCAGATTCACAATGCTCTTCTTTTGGAGGTAGCAATCCACTTGTGTGTAGTCATCTGAGTTCTTCACCTGCTTCTCGGGGAACAGAGAGGCAGGAGGTCACCACAAATCTTCCATTTTCAGATAGATCATAATCAACTAATTTTGATATATTTTATGCAGCTTTTTGGTGTTAAAGGTGATGTTATGTTCTGTGAGATGAGTTCTTCAGCTGCAGAAAATACTCATAACCTACTTTCATGGTTTTTGACAAATGGGTAGGCTGACAATTTATTTATTTTATTTTAATATTTATTTTTAATTCTAAATTGACAAATTATAGTTGTATATATTTATAGTATAAAAACTGATGTTATGACTTATGAATACTATGTGGAATAATTAAATCAAGCTAATGAACACATCTATCACCTCAAATAATTATTTCCTGTGGTAAAACATTTGAAATTAACTCTTAGAAATTTTGAAATGTACAATACATTATTATTTACTATATTAACTGTAAATACTACTCAGCTTTAAAAACAAGGCAATTTTATTGTTTGCAAAATCATGGATGGAATGGGACAACATTATGCTAAGTGTAATAAGTCAGGTACAGAAAGACAAATACTCCATGTACTCACTTATATATAGAATCTAAAACAGTCAAACAAAAGAAGCAGAGAGTAGAATGGTGATTAACAGAGGCTGGGGTTAAGATGGTGAATGAGGATATGATGGTTAAAGGGTACAAAGCCTCAATTAGATAGGAGGGAAAAGTTTCTTGTGTATGTTTAGTTTTTAAATTTTTAACCAGGTTTATTGACATATAATTTCTACACAATAAAATTTACCTCTTTAAACATGCAGATAAATGAATTTTGACAGGTCGACATAGTTGTGTAAACACCACCACGATTTCTAGTGTGGGGCTATTATGAATAAAGCTGCTGTAAATATTCATATATATCTTTGTGTTGACATGAGTTTTTGTGTTTTTGTTTCTCTTTGGTAAATACCTAAGAGTAGGATTGGTGAGTCATTTGGTAAGAAAGAGCATGCTTAATTTTATACGAAACTGCTAAAATGTTTCCAAAGTAACTCTACCATTTTACATCCCCAGAAACAATATATGAGAATTCTAATTGTTCCACATACTCCCTAGTACTTGGTATTGTCAATCTCTTTAACTTTAGCCTATATAGTATGTCAGCAGAAGTATCTGATTTTTAATTTGCATTTCCTTAATGAAAAATTAAATAAAGCATCTTTTTACATGCCTATTGATCATTCAGATAGCTTCCTTGATGAAGTGTGTGTTCAAATATTTTTCCTGCTTTTTATTCTTTTGCTGGTCCTATAATTGAGTTGTAAGAGTTCTTTATGTATTCTGGATACAAGTTGTTTTTCATATGTCTGATTTGCAAATATTTTCTCCCAATATGTGGCCTGTATTTTTTACTTTGGTTACAGTGTCTTTTGAAAAGCCAAGGCTTTTTTTATGAAGTCTTTCTTCTTTTGTCTCATACTTGTGTTCTATATAAAATTTTTTTGCCTAACCCAAGTTCACAAAGATTTTCTCCTCTGTTTTCCTCTAGCAGTTTTATAGTTATAGGCTTTACATTTTAGGTCTATGATCCATGTCTTGTTACATTTTGTCTATGATGTGAGATGAAAGTTGAAAAGCTTTTCCTTCTATTTTATGTGGATTTACATTTGTTTAACACTGTTTATTGAAAGACTACACTTTCTTTGTCCATTGAACTACCTCAGCACCTTTGTCAAAAGTCAATCAACCACGCATGTGTGCATGTGCATCTATTTCTGGTCGCTCTATTCTGTTCTATCGATATATATATATATATATATCGATATATATATATATATACCCTTATGGCAATACCACACTTTCTTGATTACTGTAGCTTTAGTAGTAAACCTATTCAGAGCACTTTCATGGTCATTATCTTATATGAGCCTTATAACCCTCAAAGCTAGAACTGTCAAGGATTACCATAAGATCCATTTTACTGATGAGTAAATGAGTCTCAGAGAGGTTAATGGCCTACCCAACCTGCACAGTTATCAGTAGACCAGGCACTAGAATACTACTAAATCCTACTCCAGTGTTTTCTTTTTTTCCTAGAAAACTAGCAAAAATATTGCAAAGAAACTGAGTCTCACATCACTGGTACATAGTGGTACATTTAGAATTATTTTCTGAGTAAGACTCCTACTTAGTACGGGGTACTCAACAATCTATTAATACTTAAGACAGTCTTAGTAATTTCAGTCCCTCCTTCATACAAAATAAACTTTTTAGTTCTCAGTATTTGGCTTTTTTCTTTTCAGTTACCTACAGCCGCCTTAGTTTTTTGTGTGTTATGAGCCACACCCATCTACACCTGGTCTTACAACTTTAGTCTGATTACAGATAACCAACATTCTACCACTTCACAATAACTCACAAACTATATTCCTGTAATGTCCACTTCCATAGGCAAACTTCAGGTCTTTTTTTCAAGGAAAGTACCATAATTTTGGTAGTATTTATAAATGTCTTAGCATTGAACATGTGTAAAATTGTGCTGTCATTTTTGTTAGTTTCCTATCTTTTTTTTTCCTTTACTGCCTATAAGAGATGTACTTTATTTTATTTTAGTTTTTTCTTCTTTTTTTTATTTCAGCATATTATGGGGGTACAAATGTTAAGTTTATGTATATTGCCCTTGCCCCCCTCCCCACTCGAGTCAGAGCTTCAAGCGTGTCCATCCCTCAGATGGTGCACATCACACTCAATATGTGTGTATATACCCTCCCCCTCCCACCTGCCCGGCACACAATAAATGTTATTCCTATATGTCCACTTAGATGTTGATCAGTGAAACCAATTTGCTGATGAGTACATGTGGTGCTTATTTTTCCATTCTTGGGATACTTCACTTAGTAGAATGAGTTCCAGTTCTATCCAGGAAAATACAAGAGGTGCTATATCACCGTTGTTTCTTATAGCTGAATAGTACTCCATGGTATACATATACCATATTTTATTAATCCACTCATGTATTGATGGGCACTTCTGTTGTTTCCACATTTTTGCAATCGTGAATTATGCTGCTATAAACATTCGAGTGCAGGTGTCTTTTTTATAGAATGTCTTTTGTTCTTTTGGGTAGATGCCCAGTAATAGGATTGCTGCATCAAATGATAGATCCACTTGTATCACTTTAAGGTATCTCCATATTGCTTTCCACAGAGGTTGAACAAATTTGCAGTCCCACCAGCAGTGTAGGAGTGTTCCTATCTCTCCACATCCACACCAGCATTTATTGTTTTGGGACTTGTTAATAAAGGCCATTCTCAATGGAAATAAATAATATCTCATTGTGGTTTTGATTTGCATTTCCCTGATGATTAGAGATGTTGAGCCTTTTTTCATATGTTTGTTGGCCATTATTCTGTCTTCTTTTGGAAAGTTTATGTTTATGTCCTTTGCCCACATTTTGATAGGGTTATTTTATTTTTTCTTGCTGATTTTTCTGAATTCTAAATAGATTTTAGTTATCAGCCCTTTATCAGATGTGTAGCTTGCGAAAATTCTCTCCCATTCTCTAGGTTGTCTGTTTGCTGCCGTGACAGTTTCTTTGGCTGTGCAGAAGGTGTTTAATTTGATCAGGTCCCATTTATTTATTTTTATTGTTGCTGTGATTGCTTTTGGGGTCTTCTTCATAAATTCTTTGCCTAGGCCAATGTCTAGGAGAGTATTTCCAATGTTCTCCTCTAGAATTCTAATAGTTTCACACCTTTGGTTTAAGTCTGTTACCCACCGTGAGTTGATTTTCTTTTTTTTTATTTCAGCATAATATGGGGGCACAAATGTTAAGGTAACATACATTGTCCTTGCCTCCCCTCCCCCCTCGAGTCAGAGCTTCAAGCATGTCCATCCTCCAGACAGTGCACATCACACTTATTATGTATGCATATACTTATACCCTCTTACCCCCTCCCACCTGCCCGACCCCTAATAAATTTTTTTAACACTTTGGTTACATTTTATATCTTTGCCTTTCCCTAGCAAGGGTTAGAGTTATGCCCTTCCCTTCCACACTGTTCCCCACCACTCTTACACTGCTTGTGGGACTGCAAATTAGTGAAACCTTTGTGGAAAAGAATTTGGAGATACCTCAAAGAGCTAAAAATAGAAATACCATTCAACCCAGCAATAGCATTATTAGGCCTCTACCCAAAAGAACATAAGACATTCTATTATAAAGACATCTGCCCCCGAATGTTTATGGCAGCACAATTCACTATCACAAGGACGTGGAAACAACTCAAGTGTCAGTCAATTCATGAGTGGATTATTAAAATTTGGTATATGTTTACAATGGACTATTACTCAATTCTAAGAAATGACAGCGAGCTAGCACCGCTTATATTATCCTGAATTGAGCTTAAGCCCATTATCCAAAGTGAGGTAACACAGATCAGAAAAATGGGCTCCACGTGTACTCTCCATCAAATTGGTACTTATTATCACTGTGGTGCTCACATGGTGGTGGTCTTCATCAGGGATTCGGGGGTTTGGGGGGTAGACCCACATCTGAGGGATATGTGAGTTGATTTTTGTGAGAAGTGAAAGATACCTTCAGTATTACTGCAACTGCTGTAGCTCTTGGAGTTAATTGGGCTCTCTATATTCTTAATTTTAATCCAAATGCTAATTAGATTTGACATAATAAGGGTCTTTCCAAGATAGGAGCTGTTTCTTGGTTTTTCTCTTACTGAAATTTGATTGCATTTTAACCTTGTAGATTATTTTTCTGTTGGTGATTTGCTTAGAATGTAGCCTTTGAGTAACAGTTTAATTTCTGTGCTTTTTATTCCTTATGCTAACATTGTATTTTCCTTATTGCCCCCCTAATTTGATTGCACTTTAGAATTTTAGTGTGCATCCAACATGTACAGTCCTCTGTTCATATAAGGTAATTGTATTGTTTGATATTTTCTCCTTCAGAATGAAGAAGTCAGATTCATTGAAAATGAGCTAGAGATTCAAAAGCAAAAATACTTTAAACTTCAAACTTTTGTTAGAAGCTTGATACTAGCTATGAAAGCTGACGATAAGGAACAACAACAGGTAGGTCCCAGAAGAGACTAGTAAAATGCAATGTGTCATGTTGAAAAATGACATGTCACACTTGAATGCTTCGTATCTTTTCATTTTTTCACTTCATTTCTACTTGACATGGAGGAAGGGTTTGTTATTTTGTGACTTTTTATAACACAGTTTTCTTGAGAATAGGTATTCAGATTTTGTGTGCTGCTTTAGTGGAAAATAAAAATTAAGATGATTAAGATGCTTTGTTAATCCCAGACTAGCTTTTAAGTAGGGAAAAATAATTTTAAAATTCATTTTAATTACAGAGATTTTTTTGAAGTGTTCATAGAGATGGGGATACTTTAGAGAGGCACATGTTTTGGTACCTTTTGTGAATGAAAGAGTTTGATATCTATTTGCCTCTCTTATGGATCTTAGTTTCCTGCCAGCTTCCACTGGAGTTCATAAGTGTTCGGATATCTTCTATTCTATGATATATTACTCATTACCAAGAAAACATGAAACTACTTTCTGAAATTCTTTGTGACCATAGCATATCACTTACTTTTTCCAATTTACGTAGAGTGTTTGAGTCCTCTACTCCACAGATGAAATGTAATGTCTTTTTTTGGTCGCTGTGGATTTTTGTTTACAAATTCCTTCCAAATTACAATTTCTGTGTCATATTTTCATGTGAAATTTACATAATAATGTGTTAGGCTTAGGTAAAAAACATTATAAAATTAAAATAAGTGCTCCATTTAATATTAAACAATACCAAATTTGCCTTTGAGGTTTTGCCACCATGCTGATTCTTTGTCTGAGAAGTTCTATAGGAGTAGTGAGACATATGCAACCATGATTTAGGAAGCAGTCTCAGAGGTTTTTATTTATCAAGGAATATCAAGAGTACAAAATCCCTCCCTCATATCCAAGCAGGACTACACATACATAGCCCATCGCAGATGTCTCCAGGATAAAAGATTAGATTCATAGCATCCCATAAATCTCTCTTTTTTCAAAGAAAAAAAGTCTTTATATATTTACTTAAGTACTTAACTACAAAATCTAAACTAAAATAATTTACTCATGAGGCTCAAATCAGCATGTATATTATGTGTCCTGTTTCATGAATTTTGCTCCCTTAGCCCCCACCCACAGATAGCCCAAGACACAATGACCTTCAGTTATCTTTGCCAACTTTCTTTAAGCATATTATATGAGTTATACATATACCATGACATATTGAAATTGTATTTGTTTTTAAGGAACCTAAAATACAAAATTTAAATGAATAAGAGTGGTAGTCTTGAACATGGTCCTTAGGGTACTATAAATTTCAAATAACCATAAAAAAGAAAAAAAATAGGTCCAACAATAGGAATAACTTGGAGTGTGGCCCTGGTCTCAAAAGACATAGCATTGTTTTGAATTAAGAGTTATATGGCCAACTAGCAGTTATCTGTGTCTCTTGACATCTAGGAATAACATACTGACTCCATTTTATTTTCTAATTCTAACCTCACTCCAGGTTTTGCTCTTTCCCCAAGACCACTAACAAAGAAGAAAAGTAACTAATGCATATTTTATTCTTCCCTTATTCTTCTACTTTTTCTCTGATAAAAGACTAGTAAACTAAAATATGTACAAAAAATTGGCTGAAAGCTAAACTGACACAGATATTGTATTCAACATCATAGCCAATATAATCAACACCCCAAATAGAAACTGCCGAGTTTCATAGTTAAGGTTGGGTATAATGAATCTCAAAATATGGTCTCAAAATATAAAAGACACCAATAGTAGTCCACAAAAGTTATCTAGGTCATCTCTTAAACTACTGATCTTTACATTATGAAATATTTAGAGGTTTATTTCTGGGAGGAATTACTTTTTATTCTACCTAATAAAAGAACCATTGAGTCATTGGCTTTGCATTTTTAAAAAAGTGCTTTTCCATTAATCTCAATTTGGGTAATTTGAGTAAGATATGTGGTCCACAGAATATTTTTGCTCAATGAAAAAGTCCAGGATTTAAATCATATATATATATATATATATATAAATCATATATATATATGATACTCTCTGAATGAAAGAGATTACCAAAAAGATTTTGTTGTCATTGTTAAATCAATAGCCATTTTAAAATCAAAATAAGGTTGCCAACATTGTACTAAGTCATTAGTTATGGTCTTTCTTCCCATGATAATTCATTATGTGATCTTAGCCAGGTCAATTGCCTTTCTTGAGCTTCAATTTCTCCACCTAGCATGGATTATCATGAAGATTAATATTATAGAACTTGGTATTCATATCCTAAGACCTACAATAAGTATTATAGAGACTGATCATATATTTGGGAAGTTTTTAATATCTCGGGAAGAATGACACTAGGTCAGGCCCTGAAGATAGTTGTCATTGATGAAGAGCCTGTAATAAAGTTAATCGTCTTTACTTAAGTACCTATGAAAAAGGAAGTTCCAACAATTGGTATAATCCAAAAATGTGTTCAATGTGCCATTGATGTAATCCAGTAAGATACTGAGAGAAGAATTTTAAAGTGGATCTCATACATTAGTAGTGTCCTATACTGCCTCAGATATTATTTTTTTATATTTTTTACTGCATTCTTTTAAATCAGTCAACTACATGTAATACAATAACAAATAAATAAATAATAGTGCTTGTCTGATTTACAGGGCTCCCACCTGAAGTTAGAATATCATTAAATCTTGTCTATATGACTTTCAAACTCTAAGCACATATTTAGTGAGTGTTAATTTGAACACTTTTCCCTCTTTAATATGACATCTTCAAAATTGCAAAGTAGCCGGGCGTGGTGGCTCACGCCTGTAATCCTAGCACTTTGGGAGGCCGAGGCGGGCAGATTGCTCAAGGTCAGGAGTTCGAAACCAGCCTCAGCGAGACCCCATCTCTACCAAAAATAGAAATAAATTAATTGACCAACTAAAAATATATATACAAAAAATTAGCCGGGCATGGTGGCGCATGCCTGTAGTCCCAGCTACTCGGGAGGCTGAGGCAGTAGGATCGCTGAGCCCAGGAGATTGAGGTTGCTGTGAGCCAGGCTGACGCCACGGCACTCTCGCCTGAGCAACAAAGTGAGACTCTGTCTCAAAAAAAAAAAAAAAAATTGCAAAGTGAATTAAATTCAGTGATATAGCTCTTATAGATTGACCAGCCAAAGGCCCTGTAGTACTTGGAATGGGATACTGGTAAACCACTATTCTAGAAGAAAATCGCTCTGTGTTATATTACTGCAACCTAGCACCTTAGAGTGCATGTAGTACTTTTAGGTCACTTGGCTGTGTAAATACTGTAAATTTCAAAAAGAAGTTTATAGACAATTTAATTGTATAAAATAAATAACAGCCTTTCTTCCAGATATGAGTTAATCTCTCCTTACACAGTCTGACAAAAAGGAGAAAGTTTTGATCTTGCCTCTGTGATACAAGTTAAAAAGTATATGATTTGTAGCTGTCACTTCTTTTAATAAAGAGAATAGGTGAATACTGTCTTATTTCATCATTGGATTTCATATGTTCTCCAAGATGCCTTGTCTTTCTGTTACTTAATTGAACAGTGGCAAGCTTTCAGTTGTTCCTGTTCCCTTGGTCCTTATTTACCACTGTACCCAAAGCCTGCACTACAGGTCATGCTGCTAAAAATTGCCAGATATGCTACATTATTTTTAATATTGGGAGCAGCAAATCAATCATTCAGTTCACAATTTCTTCTGGTCAAGTGGGCATCAGCACTGTCAGCCACATAAAAGTTGATTAATCACTTATTTCTCTAGTATGGATACATGTTCTACAACTCCAGATGAAACAATTATGAAACATGGCAAAGCTTAGTTCATGGTTCTTGGCTTATCCTAATTACTCCAGCAGAGATGTGAACAGACCTCCAGATATGACATTACTTCAGCAAGATCCACAGATTCAGCTATGCCCTTGTGAGTGCTTGGCCATCTGTAGATATAGACATAGCCTAAGGAAAGAAAAAAAATCACTTGGTCTTTTCAAGTTGTTAAAGTTTAGTCTAAAGTAGACTAGCTGAACTTTTTTTTCTAACTGCTAAATTCATTCTTCCACAGAAGAAAAAAGAACCACATTTTTTTAAAATGTGGTTTTCTCTAAAGGATAGCATAACTGGGCATATATATTTTAATAAAGAATACAATTTTAAAGTCATTTAGCAGTGATCGGTGAATCACTTAGTAATTAGTGAAACTAATATGAAAATTGCTTACCTCAAACACTTCAAAGCACTTTGTTCAGAATAGTTGCTCATTTCCCTCCCTATTTCCCCTATGTACATGGTTTCACTCTACATAATCCACACTTTCAACATCTAGTATTTTGTTACCTCCTTAAAAGTGTATGAAGAATTTTTCTTTTAGGCAAGGAATTGTATAAGATCCTGAAAGAGAGATGATTCATTCCTTAAATTCACAAGAATAAATCAACATGATCAACAAATATTAATGTAAAATTGGAAAAAAATCTATCCACACACTAATCTAAAATATGATTTTTTTCTGATTCAGGCACTGCTGTCAGATTTACCTCCTGAATTAGAAGAGATGGATTTCAATCATGCCTCGCCAGAGCCTGATGATACCTCATTCAGTGTGTCTTCTTTATCAGAGAAAAATGCTTCAGACAGTTTGTGATTTGAGGGGGAGATATATGATGCAGTCTTTTGGCTGCCTAACAGGTGTGCATTTCAAGATAACTGCATTCTGTTACCCTGATATTCTTCAGTTGGAAAAACACATTGTTGAAATAGACATATTCTATGAAGGATGGACAAGACATAATGGCTACAGTGCACAAAATATATGTGAAATTTAAAAGCATTTTTGGAAAGTTTTTTTTTTTTCCAAACTGATGGAACTCTGGAAAAATTTATATTTAATTTTTAGCAGTTCAGCCATGAAATATTATATGTTTAATTTCTGAAAGATTTTTGCTCGGAAAAATCTTGGATTGGATTGGAATTGGATTTTCATAGAAGGATCTTAATTTTAGCAATAGTTTTAACCAGAGACACAACAATAAAAATATTTTGACATTACTTATCAAGTTGCTAAAGTTTTATTAGCCTTATTTTTGTGGCCATTGTATCTTCTTTCTTCCTCTTTCCTTTTCCTGTCATCCACATACACTCTTACTCAGGAATTAGACTGAAATTAAAACAAAACTTAAAAAAATATTATTAGACCTGGATGAGTCCTAGAACTTATTTTTCAATCCCTATGAGAATTTGACTTAAGCTAATGATTGAAAATTGAAGAGATTACAAGTAGGAAATTGTAAATGTTGATATTCTTTTATTATCTAACCCAGATATTTGCAGGGAGGGGTGAAGCACTATAGAAAGTTAATTCACTAACATAAAGTCAAATAAATTACTAAATGTACAGCAACAAAATGTTGTAAAACATTAGTCTTAATGGGAATTCTTCATTACTGCAAAATGACAAATGTTGACAAGATTCACATTCTACTAGTAAATTTGTGTATAACTGAGTTAGATGAAATGTTGAACAAATGTTTCATGTTTATCACCATCTTTATAATATTTTTTCAGTTCTTATATTTTATGAAACAGGAAATCAAGATAAGCCACTGATATATTTTTTTTTAATTTAGTCACTCAGCTTTGCCACAAAATTTACCTCATTTCCATGTGAGGCTTGTATAGAGCCATCAGCCAAGGATAATATTTAAAAAGAGCTAAACTACTTGGTTGTGTAAATCACAGTCCTCCGAAATTCCTGGAAACTATTCTATGTGTACACACCTAAAATGGGCATGTTACCCACTTGTTTTATTAGTAGGTACCAGATGGCAACACTGTAGACAGTTCTTTGCAGATCTTCCTTTCCGAGGTACCAGATGGTATTATTAAGAACCATGGAAGTGAAAATGCCAGTTTCTCCCTAAGCTTACAGTGTCATATATTTGTGACTTGGCGGTGTGGAATTGTGTTGCATGGTTAAATTACTATCTATACCTAAAGATTAATAAAGTAGCTAGATGGCTGTTTTGACCATCATTTCTATTTTAGATATTTTTAAAATTTGTAATTAGAGGTACTTTTGATCTTGTAATTCATTGATACCAACTTATGAATGCAGAAATGCAGTCATGAGTATCTTTAACCATGAAATGTCCTCTCCCTCCCACTCAAATAGGTAAGGCTCATTGATGGTCATTCATTTTGTCAATTATTTATTTGATTTGATATTGCTGGCATACTCCTGCTACAGTTCTTTGTTAGTAGGAATATTTCAGTGGTCAGGTATGCTCCCTTTTAGCTGAGAGCCATATGTTTTTTTCAAACAGTATTTAGTATTCCTTGCAGACAAATCAAATTCCATTCAGAGGAAAGGAACAAAGTAACAGAACCTCAGACATTAGGATAAAATTTATCAGTCATACCAATTCTTCCATGAGATAAAGAGTCTCCATTATATACAATAAATATATAAAACATTTCTTAAGTAGCATGAGCTAATTCCAGCCCTTCAAGTCTCCCCTAGGGTCGACTTCCCAGTCATTGAGTTTATCTTTCAACTCTAATTTCTAATTTAAGCCCCTTCTTATTTGGTTCTCATTGCAAAGTAAGGATAGGTGATTCTCTCCTGCATCTTTCAACACTATGGATTATATGTGTCACACTTCAGCAATTAGTCACTAAATCAAAAAATATAATTAATTAACAGTGGTGGATATTGGATTTCTCAGCAAGCTGTAAACTTCACAAAAAATTATTTCTTATTAAATTCTACCAAGATAAAACTTAAATGGAAATTTTAATAGATTTAAAGATTCTGCTAGGTATAATTTCTAGAAAGAATCTTACTCTGCAATTTTGAGAGGAAACATAGATGATTCCCTTGTCTCTGTTTAAACTTCCATTAAAATAGAAACAGTACACTTAGGACTTAAAAATAAATCCTAACAGTACACTTAGGACTTCGTTTTTCTTGACATTTGGGTTTCAGCATCAGAATTATTTACTATCATTGGAATTAAGACACTTCTAAAATGAAATATGGCTTTTCTGTAGCAGGAACCAAAGAAAATAGTTGTAGCCAGAAAAAAGAATCACAATTGGCAGGTTGAAAATATGCATGGTAGAATTTCAAAAAGATGTCAAAGTCGAGTATTAAAAGATTATTATGAAAAAGGTATATTTTTCACACGTATAGTTGGAGTTGATTTTGCAATGTTTTAGAGCAGGAAAAATGGCTTGTGGTTGCTCTTATGAATATCTTTATAGCCAGGGGTAAAAATCAACTAGTGTTTCTTTCTATATGACTTTGACAATATTAAAACATATGATACTATCTGAAGCATCTATCAGAGAGACAGAAGCCAATATAAAAAACAAATTAACTATATTTTGATGTCTGCTTTAAGCTTAGGATAGGCAAGCAGTTTCTAAGCAGGAAATGTATATGTAAGAGCATTTACCATACAAAATGTGTATTTAAGAGGAAAAAAAAAAGGATAACTTCTTCATTTCAGCCAAGCTAAAATTAGTCACAAGAAAATCAAAATGGCAGTTGCCCTGAACAATAGGAAAATTAGCACATGCAAGGAAAATATTAAAAGAAAATTGGTCTCTTCATGAAACCTGAGGATGTTTTGTTGTAGGTCAGTTATCAACAGTAAGACTTTGTACTGCCATTGCAATCATGTAATAGAAATGTTTGTTATTGTTGCAGAAGAAAAGGCTAAGACCCAATCATACTCTATGCTCTGTATACCATCCAAACTTCAAAAAATGTCCAAGAGGCCATTTATCAAAAAAAAAAAAAAAAACGTGTCATTTCTCCAAAGACAGCAACATCTATTTTGAGGCACTTTCATATACAACAGTCTGTACGTTTGTAGGATAAAGCATGAGTGGTGGATTTAAAGGAATCCTGGGCAATAAAATTGACTTTGTTGCCTTTTTTTGGTGGTGGGGAGGGCATTCAGCTCATTTCCAAGGAACAGTTTCCTCATCTAAGCCTGAGAGTTTATGATAAGTTTTTTTAAGAAATTCTAAAAACTTTAACTCCTACCCTCCTTTCACATTGCATTGATGGTATACCAGAGATACTGCTTATTTTTAAATTATATTAGATTTTCATTTGTATCCTAAAAAAGCAAAAATTTGATAGGTTAGCTTTTTAAGGGAGTTATCAGTACCATAGTATCTAAATGATTAGTAAGTGGGTAGCTTTCTCTTTCAAATTGGTGTTATCCTTGGCAGATAGCACTGTATCATGCTCTTCACCAAGTTATGCTCTGTAATGCTACAATGAACAAGCCTACTAATGTGTGAGCCTCTAGTCCACATACCATTGCTCGAAACAAACCTTTATTAAGAACAGAATTGTTAAGGGGGAAAAGAGTAAAATAATATTTCATGCAAATGTAATTATGATAGTTCCATTAAAGTGTATACTGAGTATATATTGATCCATATTGAAATTTTATTTTGCATTAACTTGTTAAGTAATTTCTTTTAGCAATTCTGCATCTCATTTTACTGGTGCTACCTCTGAAACATATTATCACCTTAAAACCACATCAGATTGTAATGTGAATTTTTGTAGGGTTTTTATTTAAACTTTTATAGAGGCAATAAATGATTTCCAACTAATAGGCATCTATTTCTTTCTTCTACTGTTTCTTTTTCTAAGTCTTTGTGTTGCAAGCACCTTTTACCATTTAAAGTGAATTATTTCCTCCCCAAAATAAGGTTCTGATAAAATGAAAAATGTAGAGTTATAATAAGGTGACGGGGGTCAAAGAGGTGAGAACATGGAGTACTCATGTGGAAATCTGGTTGACTTACAAGCTGACATGTATATTATCCTTAATTGACTTTACTTAACAGAGAACTACTGCAACATGAATGGAAAAAGGTGAATATTCTGTAACAGGCAACAGATTTGTCCACTATAGCATATTTAAATGGTAAAATCAGAAAGCAAATTGTCACAGTATAAACAAAGAATGGTATTTACAAACAGATTTATTTATTTATTTTTTTACTTAAGAATGTTGCATCTATTTTTCCCTGGCTCTCTCTGACACCAGTTGAGCCTGCTTTGAATTTGGCTGAAATATGCCCAGGCATTTTTGTCAAAGCCTTCTACCAATTAAAACTCTACATGTTACCTAAAAGTGTGGGAAGAAAAGGGGAGAGCATGGGGTGAGTTTTAAATAGTATAACTACAATAGCAGTTTTCCTTCCCAGGTGATAAATTTCAAGAATGTTACAAGGAGAAAATATTAATAGCATACAAACTGCACTTCAAATGACCCAAATCTTTCTCTGATTTGCAAAAACATTGACTTAAGATAGTAATATCCCTTGATTTTATAAAAGTGAATGGGGATCATTACAAATCTATTTATAAGACAAGTCAATAAATGAGAATACCCATAAGATTGAATGATATTTTTTACATCCTTGAAACATAAGGACTTTTTAAATGTTTGTTGTTGATATCCTTTTATAAAAGTAATAGATGTTCACTGTAGAAATTTCAGAAAAGGTAGGAAATATAAAGAAAAGCAAAACCATTTGTAATCCCACCACCCAGCAACAATCCTTGTTAACATGTTAGTATATTTCATTCTAATCATTTATTCTACATATTATACACACACATATGTATTTAGCAAGATTGGGATTATACTGAATATGCAGTTGTATGGCCTCATTTTTCTCTTAACAATGTATTGAGAACATTTTCTCATGTGACTATTTGTCACCAAGGTATTTCATCCTCAATTACATTTGGACCTAATGGGAAATACATTTTTCTAAATTTATATAAGACACAAAAAACAAAATTTCTATTGTTGAAAATGCATCTATTCTAGAGAATTAATAAATTACTTCTTTACATAAAAACTATACCTCTGAACCTAGATTTAAAACAAATGATGCCGCTTATTTATTTTCACAATAATAAAGTTGCTATACTTCGGCTGCAAGTCATAAGGCACTTTGCCTTAATATTACTACCTAAGAAATGTTTCTATCACCTACACTAGTAAACCATGCTAAACTTAAGAAAATAGAATAAAACTCATTTTTATTTTAGAAAGGTTTCCCATTGGGTACACCAATATGCACTTGTAAGAATATTTTTTAAGTAAATCAATTGACACACAACTCCAGTTTTTCTCTAAAAAAAATAAGTTTGTTTCTTTTTATTATAATGTTCTGTTTCAGCCAGTTTGTTGGAAAGTTTGGGAAGTTTTGTCCATTCTGGATTTTGCTGTGAAATAACAATCAATATTTATATTTCCATTTTATAATGAAATACAGTGTGTACCAAGACTATTATACTCAAGTACCTCCTTTGTGATCTAGGCTATATGAAACTCTAATCTTTCCTAATACTTAAAGTCACTCCCTAGTTAAAAATTAGGTCTTTAGAGAGACTTATGAATTCTTTCAAGCAGTTAAGAGACCATTTCGGTGCACTGCTTCAATAATGTTGGAAGTGGTATCAATAATACTTGTTAACTTAAATTGGGTAGCTCACAGTTCTAAGACTCAGAGAACAGGTTTGATCTCCATTCAGATCAGTACATTTACATAAGGCAAAAAAAATCTCTCTGCTACAGAATCACCAAGTACCTATATTCTAATCTTGTTTTGCAGTCTGTCACTAGACACAGAGGACCAGGGAGGAGATATGGGTGGATATATTCTTATATGTTGCTTAAATGGATAAAATAATGAATACTGGGAAGTTTCCCCTGCCCATTCTAACCCCATCCATGCCTCTCTTGGGAGCTTATTAGTTGCAATTTATTGAGGATAATTTGTTATAAAATGCAATCATCTGTGAAAAAGATAAGGGAGCCAATGACGCATTCATACCATAGTGGCATTTGCTTAATCAGGGGAATTCTTTACAACATTGAGTCAAGAGTAGGGCACTGAGAGAAGGATAGTTGGGGAGGTGGGTGATTAAAAATGGAGAAAGATAAATATAGTATCTCTAGAAGTCTTGAGGGAATCATCACAATGCATACCTCTAAGTAGCTGGTGGGCAGGGGAGAGGAAATTCTAGACTCTAAAATCCAGATGGCTAAAGGTATGTATAGCAATATAGTGTAGGAGTTAGGATGGGATATTGTAGGGGACATTTTGGGGTCAAATCTCATTTTTGGGGGGTATGAGATTTTATTCTGCTACTAATTATCTTTGCAAATTTGGGCAAGATCATTTACCTTTGGCACATTTTTCTCAGCAGTTAATGAGGATATTATTTTATCTGCCATATCTTCCATCTCACATGGCTATTGGGAGAGTCAGAGGATAATAGTAAAAGTAACTTGTACACAGACAAATAAAAAAAGACAACAATTTACCAATTCCTTCTGACATTAATATTTAAGGCATGACTGAGATGCTGTATTTTAACACTGAAAAAGAAGGTAAATTTTATCTGTTTTTATTTCATAATATCATAAGGGTACAAACATTTTGGTTACATTTTATATCATTGCCTCTCCCTAGAGGCATGCCCTTCCCCCCATACACACAATGCACAACTTGTCCTATAGTTGTGAGTTTACCCCCCCCCCAACTCCTCATCCCTGGAGAATATTATTACCATGTAAGCACCATAGTGTGAATGGCTTAAACTGTCCTCTGAAGAGACATAGACTGGCAGAGTGGATAAAAATCCACAAGCCTAGTATCTGCTGTCTACAATGCATCTAACCCACAAAGATGCCTTCTGGCTGAAGATCAAAGGATGGAAAACTATCCAGGCAAATGGAAGTCAAAAGAAAGCAGGGCAGCCATACTATTTTCAGATAACATCAGCTTTAAAATAACAAAAGTAAAAATGAATAAAGATGACCACTATATAATGTTGAAAGGGAAGATCCAACAAGAAAATTTAACAATTCTTAATATTTATGCACTCAATGCAAGAACACCCAACTACATAAAGCACACCTTATCTGATTTAAATAGCATGCTAAGCAATAATCCCATAGTAGCAGGGGACTTCAACACTCCATGAATGAATTGGACAGATCCTCCAAACATAAAATAAACAAAGAAATAATGGACTTAAACAGAGCTCTTGAACAAAAGGGTCTGACAGATCTCTACAGAACATTCCATCCAAAGAAAGCTGAATTTACATTCTTCTCAGCAGCCCAGGGAACATTTTCCAAAATAGATCACATACTAGGCCACAAATCAGACCTCAAAAATTTCAAAAAAATAGAAATTATCCCATGTGTCTTCTCTGACCATAGTGATATAAAATTAGAGTTCAATTCCAACAGAAATATTCACCACTTCACAAAGTCATGGAAACTAATCAAGCTATTGTTGAATGACTGTTGGGTCAAGGAGGAAATACAAAAGGAAATCAAGAGTTTCTTCTAACTAACTGATAAAGGAGACAAAAGTTATCAAAACTTGTGGGATTTAGCATACCTGAGAGGAAAACTAATAGCAATAAATGCTCACATCCAAAAAACATAAAGCTTAGAAATCGACAACCTAATAAATAGACTCAAGAAATTGGAAAAGGAAGAGCAAACCAATTCCAACCCTAGTAGAAGAAAAGAAATAACTAAGATCAAGACAGAACTAAATGAAATTAAAAACAAGAGAATTACACAGAAGATCAACAAAACCAAAAGCTGATTTTTCAAAAATATAAACAGAATTGACAGCCCTCTTGCTAGACTGACAAGAATTTGAAGGTAAAGGACTCTAATAAACTCAATTAGAAATGAAAAAGGAGAGGTCACAACAGCCACCACAGAAATACAAAACATTATTTTTGATTACTGTAAAAAACTATATGCCCCAAAACTACACAGATCTCAGTTTTAACACTTAATGGCTGTGTGATCTTCACAAGTTATTTGGCCTTTCTGAGCTTCCATTTCTTTGCAAAATGTGAATAATGGTAGGTAGTAACTATCTTAGAGAGTTTTTATGAAGAATATGATAAACCTGTCATAACATGCTTAGCACAATGCCTAGTACACAGTAAGTACTCAGTAAATATTAGCTAACACTATTATTATTACTTACAGAAAAGGAGATTGAAGGTAGCCAAAGACTACTCTGACATAACAATTTTGCCCTGACAGAGACGGCTCAATGCAAACATATAGGAGAATCAAAACACAATTCAAAACAATTTCACCTACATATAGTATCTGATTAGCAAAGTTGTCATATTCAAAGGGCAGCATAGTTTTATAGTTAGTGCCTTTGATGGTCTTCTTATTGCCTTAGATAGTTAAAAGCCCTTCCTCCCTATCAAAGAGGTGCTTTGGGAATGGGCAAATCTGGTTCATTATCTTGCATTGAATAAGAAATCAATCCCGTATAATGTATTTCATTTACCTTTGTTGATCCATGATCTCTTATGTACACAGTTTTATAACCTTGTATGAAGCAAACCCACTGTGTATTTCTATTTAAAGCTATTTCTTTAAAAATTCAATTGACTGTTTATATATCAAATGTTGGTCTCCAGCTTAGTATATATGTGTGTGCATACAGGTAAATTTCTGGCACAGATCTTTGAAATTACCTGAAGAAATTTTAGTTTACTTACTTTGTTTTAGCTTATCCTTAGTTTCCAATCAAGT